TCAGTTGGCGAGGTCAGAACAAGATGGGTTTCATGGACTTCAAGCGCGAGCCGCAGTTGCTGGAATTGGTAAAAGACCACATCAACATTGCGCCGAACGGCATGATGTATGTCAAACCAGAAATGCGGAAGTCCCTGTTAGCGAAGATGCTTGGCGAAATTCTGGAGACTCGTGTGATGGTCAAGAGTGGGATGAAGCAGGACAAAGACGACAGAACCTTGCAGCAGCTACTGAATAATAGGCAGCTGGCGCTGAAGCTATTGGCTAACGTCACTTACGGCTACGCATCTGCGTCGTTTTCCGGTCGTATGCCATGCTCTGAGATAGCAGACAGTATCGTCCAGACTGGTCGCGAAACCCTGGAGAAGGCGATTGCAATGATACACGCTACGGAGAAGTGGGGTGCGGAGGTCGTCTACGGAGACACCGATTCACTGTTCATCCATCTGAAAGGACGCACCAAGGATCAAGCATTCACGATCGGCGAGGAGATAACCGCCGCTATCACCGCTGCGAACCCACGACCCATCAAGCTCAAGTTCGAGAAGGTATACCATCCTTGCGTTTTACTTGCCAAGAAACGTTACGTTGGCTTCAACTATGAGCACCGCAATCAGAAAGAGCCCGACTTTGACGCGAAGGGTATCGAAACAGTCCGTCGCGACGGTACGCCTGCAGAGCAAAAGATCGAAGAGAAGGCTCTCAAGCTCCTTTTCCGCACATCAGACCTCAGCCAAGTCAAACGGTACTTCCAGGAGCAATGCGCGAAGATCATGGAGGGCCGTGTCAGTATACAAGACTTCCTCTTCGCCAAGGAAGTCAAGCTAGGCACGTACTCTGACAGGGGTCCTCCGCCGCCCGGTGCTCTCATCGCTACAAAGCGTATGCTCGCCGACCCGCGTGCTGAGCCTCAGTATGGCGAACGCGTGCCATACGTAGTCATCACTGGTGCACCCGGAGCGCGCCTCATCGATCGCTGCGTCAGCCCGGAGACCTTGCTTCAGAACGACCATCTCGAGCTCGATGCCGAATACTACATCAGCAAGAACCTCATCCCACCACTCGAGCGCATCTTCAACCTCGTTGGCGCTAACGTAAGACAATGGTTCGATGAGATGCCTAAAGTCCAGCGCATCCGCAATATTACGATTCCCATGGCCATCAAGCACGACAAAAGCAACGCCCTCTCCTCCGGTGGCAACGCATCCCTCAAGAAAACCCTTGAAAGCTACATGAAATCTTCAAGCTGCATGGTCTGCCGTTCGAAACTACCTCAAAATCCACCTACACATCTCCCAGGCAGCGAAAACAATCCCTACGCCGTCCTCCCACTTTGCGCAAAGTGTCTCAAGCGCCCAGCACATTCACTCCTCTCGCTCAAATACCGCATCTGGGACAGCGAAACACGCGTCGCAGAAGTCGAACAGGTATGCCGGCGCTGCTCGAATCTCGCCTGGGGCGAAGAGATCAAATGCGATAGTAGGGACTGTTCAGTCTTTTATACGCGCATCAAGGAACGTTCGAGGTTGACTGCGCTGAAAGACAGTGTCGGGCCTGTTATCGAGCTCATGGAGAAGGTGGATACCGAGGCGGGTTTGGAAAGGGAAGATAGTAGAGGGGGTGGTGAGGGTGAGGAGTTGACATGGTAAAGTAGGTTGTTGCTAGTTTGAATACCCTGGAATACAGTACATTACTTCGAATAAAAAAACGTGTAACATGCTTTGATATATCCGCCCACTATCGTCAGGACATCCTCACCCGTTAACCCCATTTCTCCACTACTGGCTGTTTTGATGCCCCATTTTACTTTCGTCACCCAAATATCCTCTCTGTCGTCATGTTTGAGACATGCGACATTGCCTGCAGATGATCTTAGCAATGTCATTTCTTCAAGATGCCCATGAAAGCTTCGACGGATTTACGTACCTAAAGCAACAAACTCGTCGCCCTCTCCACTCATACCCTGTATCTTCTCCACCATCTCATTGATTCCCTCATGCGACTTGAACACACCCATTGCGTCTACGAAGAGTACATCTGAACTTGGTACCCAGAGATCGACAATCGCTTGCATCCGCGTCGTCTTGTCTTTCTGGCCGAAGATGTCGGTTAGATTGAGGAGGGTCAAGTCAATGGCCCGGGACTGAGGTGTCGACATCGGCATGGGGAAGTCTGAACGGAGTGCGATTGTGAGGAATGTGTATGATAAGATGAAGGGTACTGAGCTGACATATAGAAGCTGATGCGTTCAACCTGCACTGTAGTGGTGGGAAAGAGTCCGAGGTGAGTAAGCACAAGCTATTCGCGCTAACGGTATCAGGAAAGAGAAACTGCGTGCTTATGCAGCGACATCTCTGCTACAGCTCGAAAGTCCAATCAGAATGGTGAGAAGGCCTTTCTTCTAGTTAAACAACGTTTAAAGGGTCTATTAAAGAATTTATGACACGTAACAACCATTCCCCAAATCCACCATCTCGCCTACTTCCTCCACCTCTTCCACTTCCTCCACTTCGACAGCCTCCACCACCCTCCCCCCTGCCTTCACCAGCACTCTATCCAGCGCCTCCCCTAAAACAGCCCAATCCCAGTTCTGCACAACGACCCACTTCCTCAACTCGCTCAGTTCCTCGTCAAACTCCCCTGTCAGGCCAGCTACGATGTGATCAGAAAGCAAATACGAAAACAAACAAGCCTCATGGAAAACAACAGAATCCTGCAATGTAAGGACTGGTACAGAAACTACCGGAACACCTCTCTTTGACGATGCAGAAGAGTGGATGTGTCTGGTTTGGTGGAGGTGACAGACTGCGCAGCATTGTTTGGTTGGATCGGGGGTGGTGATGGGCGATAGACAGCAGTAGATTTTGTCGTTGTCGGGAGAAGGTAATAGGGTTGACGAGGTGGTAGTGTAGTTCAGGGGGAAGGGTGTTGCGGTGCCGAAGAATTTGGAGGAGTTGAATTCGTTGCAGGAGTGGCCGAAGCAGATTAGGTCTGGCGGGGAGATAGTCGGCTTGCGTGCGGGAAAGGGCATCTTGAATTTTCTTGGTTGAGCCATCGGTAAAGAGCGGGGCGAAGACGACTTCGATTGTGGTGATGAGAGGCAGGACGGTGACGCTGGAAGATGGTCGGAAGAAACGGTGATGGCGGCCGGGAAAGCTCTCTGGTGGAGACGGGTTGTTCGGATTGTCGCAATCATTGTTCGTGAATAGTCTTTCAAACGGCGTCCTGTAGACTATAACAATAACATTGTTCAAGCGAACACAATCCAGAAGACTCGTCCAACTCATCTGATGAAGAACCTAAACAGGTTTGCAGCATACATCAACATAAAAACACGCAAAGTAGATAAAACAACGTCAACGTAGCCTCTAGGGTGTTTAGCTTTTCCTTGTTTAGCCATCTCCTCTAGAAGAAAGTAAATAGGATTGCAGCATACATGGAGACAAAAACACGCAAAGTAGCTGACATAACGTCAACGTAGGCTCCCGGGTGTTCAGCTTTTCATCATTTTGGCTACCTCCTCCAGAAGTAACTTGCGATTCTGCCGAGCCCTGCGGCGATGGCGGCGGGCTGCTTCTGCTCTCTGTCGCAGCATCTCAGGAGTAGCCTCTACTGCTGGATTGGTCGCCGGTTCATCCCGAGCGTCTTCGACTGACTCTTCGACTGGGTTATCGACAGGGCGGGGGTTCTGCGGTTGCAACATTTCGTCCAGACTCGTCTCAGATGAGCCTGACATTGTTGTCGTTGATAGTTCTGGTGGAGATCCTGATGGCGTAGTAGGGTCTGTTGATGGCGTAGCTGATAAAACTGTTAATTTTGGCTTCGATAATGTGTATGCATTGCTGGAAGATGAAGTTGAATCACACAATGGAGGTACATTACCTTCGCTGCTCGAGTTTGTATTGGCGTTGTAGGTAGTGCAGGAGGTGGCGGCTTAAGCTTTAGGTAATCTATGCTTGTATGTCGTGATGATGTGGAACGTCCGGAAGATGTCTCTTGAGATTTGAGTTTGAAGACTTGCGAGAGAGAAATGGAGGCAATGGAGTTTTTAAGTAAACATTTAGACTTGGTGAACTATAGTCGAAGTAGTGGGGACTTGGTACTCGCTTCTTCCAGAACTATGGTCGAGGTAGTGGGGACTTGCTACTTCGCTCCTCCTAGTACTAAAGTGATAAGTGTAACCATGGTGAACTAGAAATGGTGTCGCGTTTTGCTGCATACACAATATTAAAAGTTTACAAGTGAGTACCGCCTAAGGCGATGTGTACTCCTGGCTTAAAAAGTATTTTCGTATATTGCAACACGGATCGTAGCCACACCTAGCGTGGTACGTCAGTCTTCAACCACTCCCAGCGTCGTCGTCCTATTCATCCACCTCTACAACAAAGACATCCAGATCGACATCTTTGATATAGGGCGGAGGCGGGCTCGAGTCAACTGCAGAATATTCTGGCACTGTCTCTTCTTGAGCAGGAACGACCAGCCACCTATCGACTTCAACGCGAAGCGGTTGATCATCGACCACTGCCATTTCGTAATCGATCCTTCTGCTCCTCGACCAACGCGATATCTCGAATGCAAGGCAGAAGATGAAGATGTGGAGGAAGACGAGGATGAGGACGAGAAATGTGTCCGTTATGCTGAATGGCATTTCGGAAGTGTCTTTGTGGTCAGAGTAAGGCTGCATTGTGGCGGAGGTGTCGAAGGAAGGGGTTCGAGATTCCTGGAGTGAGTGGGCGTGCAGCTTCCGGTTGGTGGCTCTGGTACCCCGGTGGTGGGAAGTATGAGCTAGCGAATCTATAGCTGTGTCGCGGCATTGTGAGAGTCGAGACTATCGCATTGTCAATGCGCACGACATGCAATCTGCGATGACTGTGCACTGTGAGTATGGACGGGAAATGTGCGCGGATGTGTTCGCGATATGGCTGCTGTTATCTCATCCAATGAATTGATCGTACACGTCATCGAAACAAAATCTACTTACACCTCTCAAGCAGTGGTCACCATCCCCACAACGTCTTGATTGTGTCGCCAATTGTTGCTTGGCCAGCTTCCTTCCTCTTCATACGAGCTACCCGCTCTTCGATAAATGTCTGTTCCAGCTGCTTTGCCACACCAGTTTGCGCCCTAATCTCACCAACTATAGCCATCCTCTCGATCTCGCGCTCTTCGGGCGACAGGCTCTCTAGCTTCTTTTGGTACTCTTCCCGTACTTCCGGCTTGATCTGCTTCCACACATCGGTATCGTCCATGCTGCTACTCGATTTGCCAATCTCAGCTATCGGCACAGCTGATTTCCCTGACGATGATACGCCGCTCATGGCTTCCGCGACATTCCGTTTCGACAATATGCTTTCGAATTTGGGCACTGGCCGTCCCTCTACCTTGGCCTTCTCCATTTCCTCCTCCTGTTGTATCATGCGCTGGTAGAGTTTATCTGCGTGCATTTGTATCCGCTCGTCTTCCTCCGGAGACCGCTCGTCCATGGTCATGTATCCCAATGCCTTCAAGAACTTTGACTGTATGTCGTAACAGCGGTTGAACTTGCGCGACTCGCCGATGCACATGGTTCCTGCCGACCACCATGATTTGGGATTTTGGAAACACTCGAATTGGTTCATGTATTCCAGTGCACAGTTCTCCATGGCGACTCGTCCGATCGAGGCTTTGCGATCGTTGTAGGCGTCTACGAGGTCTCGTAACTTGTCTTGTTCCGACTTTCCGCGGTTGTTGACGACGTCCTGTGGGGTGTAGGTCTTCCAGAGGTCGGCGTATCGGCCATCTTGGAATTGCGATTGCGGTGGCACATATGGCTTCTCGGGATCGGTCTGTGTTTGCGCTTGCGCTTGCGCTTGTGTGGGTGTTGGCGACTCGGCGGGCTTTTCTTTGGGAGCGGAGGGTAATGAAGGTTTCGGGCCAGTGGGCGCCTCTTTTTTGAGGAAGTCGCGGAGAGATGGGTCGAGTTGGTCTTGCCCGCCTGAGCTATTCCCGCTTCCCCAGAGCCAGCCCATAGTTGCGTCGACGTACAGATTCGTATTCGTGAGGTGAGCAGGTGAAAGTTCCCAAGTTGCGGGGACAGTGAACATGGGTCGGGGGTCCGAGCACCCGAGCATGTCTTAGCGCGTTGGCCTCAGATGCGCCCGGGCATAACAACGACTCGATTACGCGACGGCGACGACATCAACTCGAGGAATTGTTACGACACACATTGTTATGGCGCCAGTCGGTATGTTCGTTCTGTTCAAGGATTCATAATCCGAATTTCATACTCACAAGTCTCTAGATCGCCGCGAACATCGACAACAGCGCGTGCGCGGTGCTGGGTAAGACACTCGAGAACTCCTGAGACATGCAAACGCTGACTACGACAGGCCTTCATCTGTGCAGGCGTCTTTCGGCTTCAACTTCGGCGCTCTCAGTTCGCAACCGACCAAACAACCCTCTCTCCCACCCCAGCAATCACCGCGACGAACACCAGCCCAGAAGACACCCAGGAGCGCGAATGGCTCGGCACAACGGCAGAGAAGCGCGTCGATTCAGCGCAGCACTGCATCAAAGCCGAAAGCTACACCAAAAGAAAACACGGTGACCCCTCAGTTGGGCAAGAGGAAGCGGGGTTCACCAAATGCGCAATCAGGCGCAGACGACGCGGCAGAGGATGAGCTAAGCCCTGACCGTGAGGACGCTGTGCGCTCCATCGAACAAAGCAGGAGGGTCGTTGGGACGGTTCTACCCATACGCGAAGAACAAGACAGCGTACCAGACGAGCTATCCATATTGGAAGAGGGCGCCAGTACTGCACGCGAGACGGTCTTCGCCAAGTCTACCGTCATCAAACGAACGCCTCCACAAGCATCGTCACAAATACGCGCAACCCCTGTCAGTGCCCGACAAAAGACGCCTGCCACCGAGGGTGCTGAGCAAGCGTCCGCTGTATCGCGGCGGTCGACACTACGGCGATCGCGTTCTACGGATCCTGGCCCGGCTACACCCAGCGTACTTCCAAACGGGCAATCCAGAACTTCTTCCGCTTCACAACTCGGCGCTATTCTCGAGACACCAGCCGCAGCTTCAGTGGACGAAGAGAGCGAAGATGAGCTATCGCCGCAGCTCAATGGATCTACACCGCGGGTGGTTGGGAGCGAACCACGGCCGCAGCAAACCGTAGAAGAAGATGTTGAAATGGACGCAGACGAGCTCTCCTCACTCGGCCAACCGACACCAATTCAGCAAACGCCGGTAGCGAATGGTGCGACACCACAACAATTGAGAGAGCAACAGTCTGAAGAGCAAGCCACTCCGCCACAGCCAGCCAAACGAGGAAGACCGCGCCGGGTAGTGGAGGAACCCAAGGAGGTTGAGGTCCCCGCAACCACGGCGACGAAGCCTGCCAAGCGCGGCAGACCCAGAAAAGAAGTCGCAGTCCAGGAAAGCGAAGTTCAAGCAGCGCCAGCTGTACGCGAGCCAGAAGTGACAAACAGCGAGCGGCCAACACCGGAAGAAGTGGACGAGGTTCTTGACGATGTCTCCCCTGACCATGAACAAGCATCTATACACTCCCCCAAACCTACACCACGGAATCAGGACGCTGTCGAAATTTCCAGTGCGGATGAAGAGTCGGACGTGTACGAAGAGCCGGAGCCCGAAGAGGCAGAACTCACTCCACGACCCAGAACGAGAAACCCGTCTCCCAAGCAGACACAACACGCCAAACCTACATCAGAGAAACCGCCTCGGAAGCGACAGAAATTCTTAGGGCCCAAGCATACAATCTCTGTCATGCGCATCAAGGGCTCTGCCGTGCGAGGTATCACAGTCGCAGACACCACGCGTACCATCTTAGAAGAAACCATCGACTACCGCTTGAGCCGCATGGCCGAAAAGCTACAAGCCTCACAAGACTCCACCCGTCGCAAGGAATTCCGAAGTGAGATCAATCTCTCGCTCTCTTTCAAGGAGAGCCTTAACGAGAAGTTGCTCGACTTGCAGGACGCGAACGATCTCCTGAGCACCAACTTTAAGAAGATCAAGTTGTTCAAACGCGACAATGCTGAGCTACGTAGGGAAATTCTCAGTCTCCAGGACAGCAGACAAGAGATTGCTATCGAAACAGACGATGTCCAAGCACGATACAACGCCGAGAAGGCCGAGGTAGATGCCAGAAATACCCTCAGCGACGACATGTTCGAGATTGAGGCTGCAATAAAGAACGGTCGGAAAAAGGCACGCAAAGAAGGGAGGGAAGAGGAGGGACCCAATATCCCCCTTCCTATGCTGCTCCAAATGGTCGGCAATGACGTCACTTCTCGAAGTGGCGGCCTTCTGGCCAATGTGAAGGGCTTTAACGGGCTCTTGGAAAGAGCTGCAGGCTTTCTAGAGGGAAGAGCCTGATTGCACAGCGAATGGCTGGATGAAGTTTCTTGTGTGTACTTTCGGAAAGATACCCGGCATTATCGCCACCTTCGATATGATATTTACCATTCTCATATTCTGCACCCTTTCAATCTCCTAATGTCTGCGGACGCACAACAGCATCTGAAAAGCTGATCATGATGTCTCATATACGATCGGGTGTTATTTGGCAAGAACACCTGGGGTAGTCGCGTGTCGTCTAACATCGGTCAAGCGACTAGTCTGCATATGCCAAGAGGCGCCCGCTTTCATGCACGGTTACGCAAAGGTGCATCACCTAAATGATATTGGCGTGCTGGAACTTGCCTGTGCGCATCACAGGGTCCTTGGGCTACGGCCTTAACTCCCCAGCCTGCCGGTTTGCTCTCGTTTGACAGTTCTACCAAACCTTTGTCCGTCCGCTGAGACATTCTTGCCAGTGCCGGCGCTCTTGCCTTTCCAGAAACCAAAAGCCAGGCAACTCAACCGACGTAATCACAATCCTGCGTCCTGTATCTATCAGGGAACTCTTTACCAGAAAAAGCAAACATTTATAAAATTACGTGGTTGAACGTGCGCTTCGTTCTAATCAAGACCCTGTTACATTGCAAAACGGGAACCGGCGGGAATACGTTACACGACAAACTAGCTTGAACCAAACCTGGAACTATCACCAGATATCTGACACAGTTTCTTTCACTACTCCCACAGCAGCTCACCAGATCAACACACCGCTCAATTGAGGTCTAGGTGGTTGTTCGTCACGGTTCACTTACCAAAACTATGACTCGCGGAAGCATCACCTGCGACACTAGTGTCCCAAAAACACCGACGACGGAGCCAGCACCGTCCACGCTGACCTCGGCCGATTTCAAGACCCCTAAACCTCCTCTTACCTCGCAGACAACTAAATCTCCACGCAGCCCATCAAGCAAATTCTCGTTTCAGGAGCAGCGGCGAAAATCGTTCTTGGAACATCTGAAACGATGGCACTTGAGCCACGAATCGAGTAATTTCTTTCAAGGAAAACTCAGCCTACTACCTTCTGAGCCTGAATACAACGAAAACCTTGAATTGGGTAGAAGTGTAACTTGTATTTTGACGGATTCGAGTTTTACGGACTATAGGAAGACGGTTGCTATTAAGCTTTTTGGACCACAGAAGGACAGCGTAAACGGCAAGATAAGAGAATTGGGACGGGATATCAAAAGCAGGAGCATGGCTTTACTCAGCAGCGAGATGAAGCTCGCGGAGGACAAGAAAGAGGAGGCATGGCCGTCACCAGAAGCCATATCCGGCTCTTCAAACAGCTACTACAACCTCGTCATCCGCTTCGGCTCAGGATGGCTCTCAGCACGCGACTATTTCAACAGACTCTACTTTCGGCACCTCGCTGCCCGCTTGCCAGGGCGGAGTAGCCACTGCGTCGCCAACACAGCCGACTACGTCTTCCGCGTCCGCTCCCAAGCTCTCGGCCCACCACCCTCAAAACGAGACACAGTACCCATCCAGCCACTCTTCCACCAATTTCAACGCCTGCCCACCGAACTCCAAGAAATGATCCTCATGACGGCCGCCGGACTTACCCGGGACTACGACCTCACCAACGACGCGCGCAGGAACTGTGCCAGAGCATCCGAAAGAGCCATCAGTTTATCAACCCTACTACGCATCTCACGCGGCATCCACGACACAATGCGCCCATACATAATGCGCAGCACGACCTTCCATTTCGGCCTCAGCGGAACGACAAACTTCCTCTGGCAATGCGGCCCGACTTATCGTCCCCACATTAAACGCTTGGCCTTCCATTTCGGGAAGAATGCTTTGCTTCATTGCGTGCGCTGGTTAGCCTCTGATGCGATTTTCGAGTTCCTAGAGCCGCCGCAGCCGAATGGAGGGACTGGGTTACCGCTCTTTTGGCGCTGTCAGTTGAGAGCTCTTGCCAAGGAATTGCATTTGCGGGAACTTGTTATTGATATTGAGGGGATTCCGAAGGCGGATGTTGCGATGGTGGTTAGGGTTATGAAAGAGGTGTTTGGGGGTGTGGAAAGGGTGAAGTTTGTCGAGGGTTCGCCGCCTGGGAAGACGGAGGTTGTGGATATGAGGGATGAAAGATTAGCGGATTTGGCAAAGGAGTCTTGGAGGGAGCTGGTCAAGGGGTATATCGGGAGGTATGAGCGCCAGATTGGGTGGCATAATTGGCATTTTAAGATGGATTTGGTGGGCTTGAAGGACCATGAGCTGGATGCGTTAATGGACAAAGAAGCGGGGTTTTTTGATAGTTGATAGAAGGTGAATGCATGATGACGGTGTTATTTGTATATTTTAGGATTTTGGAAAATACGGAATAAACATATGGCGAGTTCATGGCAAGGTGAACCAACGGTAAAGATATGGCTTTGTGATCTGTTGACGGTTCCTGCATTTACGAGAGATGTCGTCGAGCGAGTGATGAACCTTGAAGGAGAGAATTGCATACCCAGATACTAAGGTCAATCTAGTCTACGTCGCTTCCACCATAACTTTCCTTCTTCGAAAAAACATCGCTTAGTGCGTCATTAAAGAAATGGCGTTCAGAAAAGTATTACTTTGTTCCGGCAGTTGACAGCCAAGGTACTTGCACCTGAGTACGCAAATTGTGACATTGGCGATAGAAGATTTCAAGGTTCTTCGTGGAAACCATAGTGGGTACGATACGCGTAACAATTTAAGGTTTCGTCGACACCCAGGCTGTGCCCAACATTGCCCGCTGCCAGCCTCATTACCGATCCTCCGATGCTTCTCGAGTTCGTGAGGCGAGCAAATGACCGCTGCGAGCGGCTAGCGCAACGGGTCCCTGCACGGAAGCAGCGGTAGGCGGAAGGGGAACAACTCTAAATTTCTAGTTCCCGGAATCCTCTTCTTTTGTCTCGACATCAGATTTCCAAGAGTATTCGTCCGCATGATGGACGTTTGGCATCCTAGTTCACGCTCATGACGAGTGGCTGCGTTTACTTTGGCTACTCAGACGATCATACGCAAGACGACCTCGGGACTCAACCTTGGAAACTGCGACCCGGCAGCACATGCTACGATACAGCCACATGTCTTCTGCGCGACAACTAACGTCGTTGTTACTATCGCAGAGTCATGCAAGTCGTGCAAGAAGAAGTCATGGATGGCAAAACATGACCTCGTCACTTGCGAGGTTTGTGGGATAGATTGTAAAAGTCAAATGTCATTGGTAATGAGCGTAATTGAGCGTAAACTCCGCAAATGTACGTAAACCTCCTCTCACAAGGTTACCCAAGAGGCCGTCATCTAAAATCCCCACTTGGCAATCTTCTTGTACGACTTGTGCTTGACGCTGGTAGTGCGCTTCGCGACGCTCATACGCTTCACGACAGCGCTCTCGTCCTCGTCCACGTCCACGCACCCATCAATATCCTGCGAGGAGCAGAGCGGCGTGAGAGTCTTAGAGCCCATATCGCAGAAGTTTCCATGTGCGTCAACAAAGTCCGGTCCCCAAGACGTGGCAGATTCACAAAGTCCCTTCGCTGAGTGGCTTGCAATGTTGGACACGACAAGTGCCTCGGTCATCCACTGGGGGCGCTCAGAGACACTACGCTTGGCGCCAGGTTGGTCTGAACACGAATGTTAGAGAAAGTCCTTGCGCGGTAGGTATAAGGGGATGACTGACCAGCGATAGGGCCACTGTCTGGGCCAAAGATCGTGTATGTACATCCTGCGTTGCTGCTCGCGGTGTCGTTGACGTTTTCACCATACGCGGAGGTATCGAACTTCAGAGAAGCAGCCGCAATATCGTTGGTATGGTCTAGATACGAAGTCAGTGTATGTATCACATGTGTGCCACGGCCGTCATTTACCTGCATCAATCCAAGTGCACCTGGGGACGTAGTCGCCGCCGTCGTCTAGGCGTCCCGCTACCTCGACGCTCTCGTACCAGGATTGGCCACAGACTGATCCAATATCGCCAGTCCATGCACCACCGAAAGTGCCGTCGAACTGCGTCACGGTGATCCAGGCAATACATGTCGCGTCATCGTTGTTCGAGATGCTGACGTATTTGGCTCGTTGGCCCCCAACCCCCGCGTCAATGGTGCGGTCGCAAATTCCACCAGAACCGATATCACAGCCATCAGCTTGACCCTGATATCCGTTTACCTGGGAGAAGGAATAGACCTTGTTGATCGAGCCAGACTAACCTCTTGTTAGCAGCGGACTCTATGTTGTCCATACTTGGACGTAGCACTCACAAGACTGTCTCCGTCGTTACCAAGGTCGGGTAGACCGGCTGCAGGAGTGAAGAGTGTGTCAGCAACTACCATGAAGATATTAGTTCTCTTGTGATGCTGTACCTTTGATTCTGACAGTTGCACCCTCTGGTGCTGATCCTGGGACGTTGGCTTCGAAAAACCCAACCGTAGTCAATGCGTCAGCCACGAGCCCAATGGCTGTGAGAACCGAGGCAGCCATGTTGAAACTTGCGCGAAAGCTGATTATATGATAGTTGTTCAAAGCCGTTTAACTGAGAGGGAGAAGTCCGGTTTGGGTGATGAGTGCTTGGTTCACAGAAGGACTTTTTATATCTCTTCGGCTTGAGCAGTGCTTGTTGCTATCCATGACACTATGGAGCCATGGTGACATTTCTCCGGAACTTCGGCATGCCATCGTAACATGTCTCAAATCGAATAGCAAATCAGAACTTCGTTGACAACATGTGCTCGGCCCCCAACTGTTGCCAATACTTTATCCATGCGAAGTGGAGGTTCGGCTTGTTCACTTTGTCAGCCTGTACGAACATTAGGTATGCTGCCTATGATATGGCCGACCTTTGATTTGCCGTAGCCTCCTGGGTATCTCATCCTTCTAAGACACTGATGAACGCAAATATCAAGACCTTCCCGAATGGTAATGTTGAGTGATGTCGTCTTACCGGTTAGAACAGTAGTCTGCCTGGGAGCTGAAGGATCGCTAGAAAACCGGGGACTAACGACGAAAGTAGGAAAAAGCGACACAGATACGCCTTGTCATCCCCCCGGAAGCGCCGGTGGAAAGCAACTAATCTGTGATGGAGGTCGAATTGCCAAGTCCGCGGGACAGTTATAAGCCACCTCGCCCACCGACTCAATGCTCAGCAACACCTTTCTCTATCAGCTCCACTTCTTCTTTCGAGACAAGATCGACCACTCGACCCCAACAAGCCACCATGAAGCTCTCACTTGCCCTGATCAGTACTCTGCTTACGAGCTCCCTCGCACTTTCGGTCAAACGACAAAACGATGTACCCTCCTGCGTCAACGGCGATGTTGCCGACAGCAACGGCGGTCCATACGAGGGTGGTATGTAATAGCAACTGCCGGCTTCGGTCCCTTAGGTAAAACAAGCTGACACCCTATGTTTAGGCGCTGAATGTGAACAAGACTGCTACTTGACTGAACAGGAAGGGGACAGAGTCGATCAGATTTGCAAAGGGTACTGCACTGGAACACCGCTCGTGACAGGAACTGTTGTGTACAACTGCTATGGAAGTGGCTGAAGCGTGTACGGAAAGCCTTCTGGGGCGGACTTGTTGGAAACCCATTGTGTCAGAGCATTACATAGATACTTTTACACACCAACCTTCAATGGATGACTTCAACTTAAGCACCGCATAAATGCTTGTCTTCCGGGCGTACATGCTTATCCCTCGTGCGTGTACCTAGCATAACTATGTGTCAAGACGTCATCTTCTCGCCGATCTCTATATGAGATTCGTTCTTTACTATGAGTTCGTAAGGCTCGACCGGCAATACGGCTTACGCCCGAAACTCATCGACGAATGACAAGGCGCATGGTTGAAGCGAGATCCCCACACAAAACGCCCCGCAGAAGATTACCCCGGAATACACCGCGGACGTTGGATCAAAGTGTTGTGGTTTATAGTGGTTAAGGTTAGCTGCCGCCGTGACTAATCGAAGCAGGCACGTGGTGGTTGTGGGGGCTACATAAGGCGCCCCGAGGCACCCCGTCCGGGTCTTGGTAAACACCACTACCAAAATCAGACAATGATCGGGACGACCGTGCCACCCAACCCCGCCTCAACGTCGCAACGCTAAGGAAGAATATGTGCGTTGTTATGACCCAGCGATGTCATTTGGGGCGTACATGAGTCGGGTTTTAAGAGAGGACGAATGACGACAGTGCTAAGAGCAGCTGCAACCGACGAATCTACGCGACCAGCGACAGCTTCAGACACTGGAAGCGACAAGGAAACGTTCCGTTCCAACCGATTAGCCGGTGAGATGGTCTGAGCCCTTACATGCAATAAGCCGCAGTGTGACACATGACGAAATGTCCCATGAGTATGCCTTACTCTTGGCAAGAAGCGGATGGCCTTATTATGCAGCGATGTCTGGAGATGGAGTACAAACACCCTAGCCGCCCCCCACGCTCGCATCTACTGAGATGGGACTCGTTCAGAACCGCATCCAGACTTGATAATTCTTGCTGTTTTCGAGACTCTCCCTAAACCTTTTGCTTCAGCATTTCCAATGCAGCTCTTCCAAGTCATCAAAAGATCGGCGTTTCTAGCCTTGCTTTCTTCTCCCTTCTACGCACATGCACAAGCATCCCAGAACGCAGATGGGCAAGAACTAAGCCCATACAAGTTTGTGCCCTCCCCATGTATCGGCACAAGTCAACTAACCGTTCGATAGTCAGAACCTGACGCTCCGTTTCTTCAAGGATGGCCACGACGACACGTGTAACTACTACGACTCCCGCGACGCCTTGACCTTCACTACGAGTAGTATTCCCATCGTCCCGCACTGTTTCAGTCTTGGAGACCTCTTTGGTGGAAACGCCACGCAGGGCTTTGTGAACCAGACATGGAACCTCGGTTCTAACAGGTTTGGTGACGAACAAGCGGGTATATACTGGACGCTTCTCAACGCCGACAAGTACGACAGATCAGCAAACTACTCTCGGGTCCTATACCGCCACCATGTAGTGCAGGCTTATGACGACATATGGAAGGAGGGCCATCTCTCAAATATGATGGCTACCGTCTACGGAGGGGAGGACTGCTCTGAACTCGATCCTAACGATGACCAAAACTTGCTGAACTGGTTTGGGTACAGCTGTTGGAGTGCTGATGAGGGTGATTGTGGCAATACACCTTACCCCCTCAATAGTTTCAATCTTGCCTCAGTCGACCAGAGGTCAGACCGCAAGTGCTGGTTGCATTCGGAATTGGGCGCGGCTGTGCATGGATTCTCGTCTTCTCGGGCGATAATGGGAGCTTTCGCGAGTGTATCTCTAGCTGTCTGGCTGGCCTTGTAAGGTATCTAGATGTTGACAGGAGAATTTGTATAGCTAGACATTGAAAAACTCAACCTCAAGCGCAAAAGAAGTGATTAAGGCAGAAAGTGAGCACACGGCATTGTGACTGTGCCACAAGTAGGGCCGGACTGCTTTCACCAGCGCGGATCCAAAGATTCCGGAAACGTGTTACAGAGTGACCAGAAATCATGATAAAGGTAAGAAGTTCGGAATGTCATTACGCCTATGTATGCCCAGCCTTTTGAACCCAGTGTCCAAACGCCAGCAGAAGAAGAACAAGTAGACAAGACAGATATACCGCTGCCGCTGCCCACATCAAACGCCGTGACTATGCAAAAAAAGCCCAACACGGGGGTAAAACGCCAAAACTATACACCACCACAATCCCAGCATCTACCCACTCCCATGACTTCTCAACTTCCGCCCAGCCGCAAGACCCGGGCCAACGCTATTACCGAAATTCGTAATATTCTCCCTATCCCCACGATCGCCAGCGACACCAACCGTCTTCCTCGTCATCTTCTTCATCGGAAGCTTACTTGTATCATCGCCATTGGTTCGCGCCTTCTTATTCGGAGGGCCGCCGTTCAGCGAATCGCAAGAAGACTGGGATGCGAGATGGGGAAGTGGCTGGGTATGAGCTTCCTGCGCCACCACGTTAACATCTAGCTCCCGTAGGGAAGAAGGGTTGCCTGTGGGGAGGTGCGAGATGGTGTGGGCGTGCGCACTAATTGAGTGCGAGAAAATGGGCTTCTTGCTCGTGTCGGCGAATATGTCGGTTGGAGAGGAGAGGTTGAGCGTTCCTGTGGCGTCGTCGAAGATGGGCTGTTTCGAAGGGCTGCGCGTTGTGGTGTCGACGGGTGCGGGGCGGTCTCGAAGACGGGAGAGGATGTTCTCGTGTGCTTCGGTGCGTGGGAGGGTGGAGGGGATGGTGTAGGAGACGCGCTGGGGTGTTTCGCCGGTGGGGTTGTATTCGATTAGATTCTGGGTCCCGACGACCTCGCGGAGCTCGTGTAGCGGTGCCCGAATGTCCGCATCTGCAGCAAGCGATGGCAAAGTCTCCTTCAATGTGTTTGCTTGCGCTGACATGTCGGATTCAAGAGACTGAACGCGATCGAATGAAGTGGATAGATGATCGCCAATGCTAGAGTATGAAGCTGCTACTGTTGACGACAAAGCGGCCAGCGATGCTGTATGGGCGGTGTGGTGGGTGTTGTTCTGTTCGCGGATGCGGGCTACGATGTCATCCAAGGATTGAAGCTGAGTGTCCAGGTGTGCCATCTGAGCCTCAACAGTCTTGACAGTGCTCTCGTGGACGGATGTAGTCGTGTCCTTGATCGAGGTGGAATGCTGAGTCGCGGCTGCAAAGTCTGACTTGATCTTGATCTTGACGGCGTCTCTTGACTTGGATACACCCGCCAGGATGTCTCTCGACTTATCCGACCATACAATAACGCCATCAGCATAAGCATCTTGCTTCGTCTCGAATGCAGCGTTGGCGGCGTTCATCTCCTCTCGTACAGCCGAAAGCTTGTCTTCTAACCTCTTCTCTTGCGCGTCGGCGTTTGCGTTGATGATGGCAGTAAGCTGTGAGAGCAGTTGTTGGCGGTCTTCGGCTGACTTCTGTTTCTCCTCGTTCACGACCTTCTCAAGTTGGCCCTGAGATGTCTTGTTCGCCTCGACCAAGGCCGCGTTGGCCTCTACGACCTGTTGGTGTAGTCGCTCGTTCTCGATTTGCTGGTCGTTCAGATCCTTGACTAGATCGTCAAAGGTGGTCTTGAAGTCTCGGCCGAGCCCCGCATAGGACGCGTGGACTTGCGTGTGGAAGGCGTCGAGTTCCGTGATGATGTTCGCAGAGATTGTCTCCGCCGCTGCTGAGAGCTCATCGAGGCCTGCGCCGATCTTCGTCTTGACGTCTTCTCGAAGAGTCCTAATCTCCTCCAGGACTTCATTCATGTGGTCGCGCGCTTGAGCTGTCTGTCCGTTGACTTCTTGTTCGGAAGTCTGGTATGCCTCCATCTTTTCCTGCAAGAAAGACTGCGAGGCGCCAAGCTGCTCAAGTTCATCTCTGACAAAAGCTTGCATACGTTCCGATATCGCGTTCATCAACTGTTCTTGCTGTTGCTGAAGCTCCTCTATCCGGTCCTCGACCATACGGGTGGTATCGACAACCTGGGTTTGGGAAGAATTCCAATTCCGTCGGTTCTGCGATTGAAGTTCTGACTTCCGTCGGATCTTCGATCGTAAACCGTCGATAGCTGATGTGGTCTTGCCGAGTGTTGAGATCATCTCTTTCCCAACCTCTGCAAGCTCTTGCTCAGTCTTCTGATGCGCCTTTCGCAATTCCGCCTCTTCAGTAAGATTTTGGCGCGTGTGATCCAGAACAATCTCGGTCTTCTCTAGGATACCCTTGGTGCCGTCCAAAGCTAGTTGAGTTTGTTCGTTGTCTTTCTTCAAGGTCTGGAAGTTTGTCGTAAGTTTGAACAGATCCTCCACCTTGTTGCGCAGGTTGACCTCCATGGTTTCGAGCCGGTCACGTTGCTCCTCGCTAAGGATTCGTCTCGATTCGCTGACTGTTGTGATCTCTTCGTAATTCTCCTGTGTAAGATAGACACCGTTGCGCTGCCGGGTCGCTATTAATTCGCTCTTTAGCTTCTCGATTTCGGCTGTGTACTCCTTGAGCAGGGTCTTCTTGTTGATGGCTTGGTTCATTTGCGGCTTGTTGCGAATATTCTTCGCGCGGAATGCGTAGTCGAGGGTGGATATCGTCTCTTCGAGGTTGCTCTTCGCTGGCGACAAGGTTGCAATGATGCACGTCTTTGTTCGGCCACCCAACGAGTCTTGCAGCAGGCGGGTGAGTTTTGACTCTCGGTACGGGATATGCGAGCTGCGTTCGACGAGTGCGTTGATAACGCGACCCAGTGTTAGCAAACTCTTGTTGATAAGACCAGCCTCTGCTGCGCGCTTGTTCTCAGCACCACTGCGCTGGATGTTCTCACTACCCGCAAGATCGACGAGGTTGAGCTTTCCGGCGCTCAGGTATTCCTGGCCATCTTCTGTTGTTCGCTTGATGTAGACGGTAATGGTGAAGACGGTATGACTTCGCGAACTGAGGTCGTTGCACTTGGTCGCAGCTACCTGTCGCTTGTGGCTGCCGTTGCGCAGCATTGTGATACCCTCGGCAGCAGTCTTGAGATGGCACTCCTCCATACCCTGGACCATGGTGGTGGTGGAGCCTTTCTTGCTGTTATCGTCGTAGATCTTCAGCTTTGTCGCGTCGTCTGGTGAAAGCAAATCGCGAAGTTCTTCGTTGTAAAGTTCGATGAAGGAGCATTTGACGGAGTTCTCGATTTCGTCGGTCTCGAGGCGTTGGAAGAGCGCGTACAGGACGCGTGGAATGATACCGGCGGCATCTGGAAGAGGGAGAACGTTGGAGATGTCACCAGTCATGGTGTAGGTCTTTCCTGTGCCGGTCTGACCGTATGCGAAGATTGTGCAGTTGAAGCCGTCGACAACCTAGATGGTTATTAGCAGAAGAAGATGGTTCTCTTCCGTTCCAACTCACTTCGTCCAGGATAGGCGCGACAACTTCGTCGTACATCATGGCCTGGTCGGCTGCCGGAGAAAAGACCTTGTCAAACTGATATGTCTTGTTGCTCAGCGCACTCGGGCCCATGGAAAGGTCTACAGCTGTGCCCCTGATTCCGTTGGTCGACACCACGACGCCGCTGTTCTCGCGCACTTCGCGGTCATTGCGCCCTCTACACCGGACGACAACGTTGATGTTTGTCTCTTCTCCTCCCTCGCTTTCGAAGTCTATCTTGCGCTTTAAGGGCGATGATCGTGGAGCTCGCGCCGAGGAAGCTACTGATTCTGCTCTCGATGAGCGGCCGTCCATGGCGGGTGTCGCTGAACGGCCACGCGCCAGATGGGGCGGGCGCGTCGTGGGGGGTCGCATGCTCGTGGTATTCCGCTTGACCGGCGGTCCTGGCCGCGGGAGTCCAGACATGGCGACGTTCGGGGAGTCGTGAAGGCGGATATGCGGGTCAGGGTGACATGCGTCTGGTGTTGCGGAACCTGCACCAAGGTAAACAGTCAGTAAACACGTTCATGCAGGGATCCTGCTTAGCTCAGGGGCACAGACCACACGCTATCAGCCTTCGCGAACACGGCGCGCTACGTCAATGCAGCGCATGCATGCACATCTCCATCTATATCTCCGCATACATTAGGTCTTCATGCCTTGATCACTGAGCCGATGCAATACATTCAAATGATATATCATTAGCTTCATCCTGTGCAAACCGTTGAGCTCCTAGTCAACCCAACTACCTGCCTGCGCGTCTGCCCCACCACCCCTCATTCACCGCGATCGTGTCGCGGTCTGTACTTCATTGATTAGAACGTTTTCACAACATCGATTATTGTATCGCTTTACATCGGCTTCGTTGGTCTTCATTCTTGTGTTTGGGGCTGCACGGATAGACCCGGCGCTTTGTCCTCGTGGACACAGCACGCGCCTATGAGCTCCCTGCTATCTACGAGCTAGGCAGCACATCGATTGACAAACACACTGCGATAACTTACTCGACTCATACACTTAACACATACCCACTATGGAAGACGGCATCATGCAGCTACAGCCTGGGCGCAGTGTAGGCTTCATGAGTCCGTTGCGACCATCCTTCCCAGATACCAAGCTGACTGAGACACAGCCCTCGGTTGCTCCCTACACGAGGTACTGACGACGATCAAAGCCGAAGTTAAGGCTTTCCCACGCTTCCAACTCTACCACGACGAACTACGACCCATATCATCACCCGTACAAGTCGTCCTCCCTGACAACGGTCTGCGCCTACAGTTCGACGGCCCCGACCAGCGCCTGCGCCTCATCGAAGTGCTCGATTTCGCAAAGGCCAAGTTGGTATACAAGGACATCGACGTATATAAGCCTGGTGAGGGAGGCTTCTCAGGCGGCGTATCAGGCCCGAGGTTTCGCCATGTCTACGACAAGCTGCTGGGACCGACGTATGGCGGAGAGTACATACCCCCGAAATCCGAAGACCCAAACGCGAGCGGCACATACAATCTATCGTATCCAGGGATAGCGTTCAACTTCCCAGTTCAACACTCCGCCTACTCTCCAAAGAAGGACTTCATCTCGCTTCTGTCCTCGTCAGCTACTGGGTCTGCAACATCCATGGCGGTCTTCAACGGCGAGTCATGGCAGAAAGCCCGTGGAACATTGTTCACAGCAATACCGCCGAATCCGAGGTCGTTGGC